GACATGAAACGCAAACAGAAAACTCTTGCATGGAAGTGATGTCCCGAACCGCCATGCCTGATTTAATGGAAAAAAAATAAAGAAGAAAACTTTGATTGACACGATACGAAGCCTATGTCTCGGACTGATATAGCCCAATATGGACCTGGTGCTAAAAGCGTTGGATGGCCAAGCCTATTGCCTAATATAGCATAGCCTCAAGGACCTGGCGCATTGAGGGGTGGATGGCCTAGCCTATGGCATGAAGTGACAGCCACGTAGGCCTCGCGCGCTGGGGTGAGAACCACGACAACTCTCAGGCTCTTCGAAATAAAGTACAGTATATGATGGCTTGGAAAGGCGCAGCCTTGTAGGCCTGGCCTATGACCCAGAATGGTCTTGCATCGTAGGCCCGCGAGTTGGGGGTGACAGCCACGACCACCACCACCACCGCAGCTTTTGAACCTCTTATGAATTAAAGTATTAGAGTAATCCGTCAGTAAACTGTAGGGGATCCTATTCGTTAACTCGAAATGGGCCTGGCGCAACAACGCGGCTCATCAGGTAAATATAATGTGGTCCACCAAGACCTTCGCCTGCGGTACCATACACACATGTGGCGACACACAACCAATCATCTTTAGTGTGTAGCTGCGCTTCGTCTGATGCTAAGCTGCATAGTGGCTTCACATGGTGTTTTAGCGTCTCTACTGCATGCCTGCCAGCATTTACTAGAGGCGTTAAAATAAAATAAAAAAAATCTTATTCCGTAATAGCCTTGCTGTTCGGAAATGATCCCCGCTCATACTTTCATGGAGTTGTAAGTGGTTCTCATGAATAAAAGAGAGCGTTTCAGCATTCTCTGGACCACCCTCTGGAGAATGCCGACGTTCCTTCCTCAGGTACTTCCCAAAACCAGCACAGGAAAAGTATATTTGCGTTTCACCGGTAGCCAGCTGATCACCAGCCTCGGCCCCGATGGCAAGCGCAAACTGGAGAGGAGAATGAAGCATACTATTCGCTGGCTGGCCTCTACTTAACTCACGAGCGCGAGCTCTACTTGAGAGGGTATCGCCCGAGATCCTCCTGTGTTCATCATTTGCCACGACGGCATATTATTGTCTGGAGCTTTAGCCGGGAGTACCCCGATGCCCGCCGTCACCACGAGGAGTTAACTCCGTGTTCCAGATGATCTTTTTTATACAAAGTCATAAAGTATTACATAAACCGCACCAGGGGCAGCATTATTGCAATGAAACGTACTTTAGCACACAATACTTCATATCTAAGAAGGTCTAACATCGCGCTTTAATGAAATACTGCTGCCCCTGGTACGACTTACATGAATAATGGTGCAACCAACTATTAAAATGTAAAAAAAAAATGTTTATTAATTTACTTTTAGTATTTTTGAGCAGAAATGTAAGGCAGTCTGTGCTGATCATTCGGATTATTCTTAGGACTTCCTTTTAATAAAGATGCTTCTCAGTTCTGTCTGCATCCTTTTAAATGTATAGACGGACATCTCAATATACTTGAGAAGGTTATCGTTGAATTTTTCTTCTTGAACATTTTTCAACGATGCATGGGTCTATTATAATTTTTAAAAGCGATTGCATCATTTTCCAGGTATAATATATTAATAAACGTTGCAAAGAATTACAGCAACCGAAGATTTGAACTTTGATGACCTAAAACTCACTTATCGCACTCTCTGACAGAATTGTGCCCATTGGCAACTTCGATCTACTCATCAAGATCTATCGGTTGACAACTGTTTTGGTTTGTAACGCGGCGGGGGGGGGGCGGTTTTTGGCATCCTCCTTTCTCTCTTGTTGCCAAAACCTTTACTTTCCGATGATCTCGGGCCTCATTGAAATATCAGGCCTGAGCTACCGTTAACAGATTCAATGACGAGAACTCTCACCCGGCAGTGGTGCGTCTCTGAAGTGTGGAATTATTGTCGGCCGCTCGCCATGGGAGGAGAGGGAGGTGAGGATAGCCCGACCTCCTTCAAATTCCTTGGTGTACGCTCTTTATCATTATCAAATTGTGTCAGTTCGGGCGTCTCAGCTCTCATGTGATCGGTCTGACCGGGGGACAGTTTTCATACATGGACCGAGCGTGCGACTCCTGACCTGTAGTAACAAGTTCAGCCACTAGATGTCTCTTGCAAGCTTCAGTGTTTGTCGATATTAGGAGTACAAGGAATTAAATTCTAAACATCTATCCCAGAGGAAAATTCATATAGAGACCTTTTTAGTTAGCCTATGTCACTATAGATTAAAGTAACGATCGCAGTTTAGTTCGGTGTTCAGAGGATCTCCTGTAGGGACAAACGATTGCATCACGACCGTTCGCGAGCCGGTCCAAGCGAGTACAAGTGCGGTGTTTAATGCGGAGCATTTGACGTTTCCAAGCCTTTCGACTTTTCGATCTAGGAGACACAAAGTGCTATCTTTCAGCACCCCTCCCCCTGGACATGGACCAGGACTCTGACCGTCGACCTCCAACCGAGACCCCAGGACCCCTCCTTCTCAACGGGTGATGAACTTAATGCTTCTTGTTGACGAGTGACAAATAAATATATGGTTGTTTGGTCTATTTCGACACTAGCAAAAGTGCCCGGCATTGCGCGGGTGAATATTGCATGCGTTCCTTATTTGTCTTCACTAAATAAGGTATCCTGGAGCAGGACCAGATTTAGGGACAGGCGACCGCCTGGGGGGGAAGACGCTCCTCACCTGGGCCGGCCCTGCTCTACTGGGTTCCGAATTTTGAAACGCCCTCTAGCCTATGACCACCACCGGACAAATGAGGAATCCATGCAGAGTTTGGTCAGACAGGGATCAGAGGCATGGTTGTGCTTAGAGGACAGAGACCCCCGAACATTCGGGAAAATAGTATAGAATATTCCCATGTGTTATTTTCACCTGAACCCCACATTGGGCTACAACCATACAGCACCGTAACAATTCTAATCAAGTAGTCAATAGTCCGTGCAAAAGCACAGAAAAATTTAAAGGCAATGAATGCAAACATGTCCATGGGGGGAGGGGGGGAGAAGATCACCACCCTCTGGATCCGCCACTGGCCATGAGAGATGGCAGGGCGCCACAGAAACAATCCTCCTTTCTTGAAGGTCTGCCCCCGTTTAATCGTGATGTCAGAGGCAGCCCGAAGATCAAGATGTTAAGGAGAAAGTAGAGTGATGCTTTTATCGGCAGCCTCACGCTGTTCTGCGGATGTTGCAACTCCGCAGCGCACGTTTTCGAACGTTAATGGCCAAAGGCCATCCTGCGTCAACCTATTACTATGGTTATGGGAGAGCACACGTGATCGTTCTGTGCGTACACGTGTGTCATGTGGGCACGCTCGCTTGCTACCGTCCACCACCATCACCTCATTATACAGTAATAAAAGAATTGCCTCGTTCTAGATCACTTTTTTTCCCGACTGGAGCTGTGAGGAGTGGGGACGATACTACAACGCTTAGACTTCAATCACGGCCGTTCCCTCGTTCCTTTGAGTCCAACCTTATTCTGGAGAGCTGTCAGATTCCCCCCCGGAGGAAGCGGTCGTGCCCCAGGGGGGGTGGGGGGCATCTGCTGGGGGACCGGCTCAACGAGTTTGTGCAAGGCAGACAAAACATACGTTGTGCTCGCGAGATGTGGCTTCTACTTTATGATCAGAAGCGAATAGATGAAGGGGAACTGCCATATTCAAAGAAAGGAAGAGGTCGCTATGCGCAGTAAATCGGCTCTACGTGTTATGGCGAATAGACCACTTCTCCTTTCAGCCCTTCAAGTGCTCTAGGCACTGCCTCGGGATCTACATGGACTTCTCCATGGAGGCCGCAGAAAATTACGTTCCTTATACTTCGCTGCAGTTCCAGCCTTAGCTGTTCCACCTGCGCTGCCGGGATCTCGTAAATGGCAATTTTTTGATGTCGGGGAAAAGTTTTGAAGCTGGCAATTTCTCCGGAATTATCACTTAATTTCCCAGACTTCGAATCGACTCGGAGTCCTCCGGTCTCGATTAGGGGCGACTGGTCGTTGCCGAAACGTCTCGTGAGATCCCGAAATAAATGCATTTAAGAGATTGCCGGGCCCCATCTTCGCCGAGCGAAATCGCTGAAAATTGAAACAACGTCTCAAAAATCGCGTCCAACTCCGTTTCTGCCGAGTCGAACACAGGAAACCGTGAAAGTACTTTGGATAACGGAAATTTGACGCATGACATTTACGAGGGAACCGTTGAACGTATTAAGGATATTGCTTAAGGGAATCGAAGTGAGCACGATCGGCTATTTCAGCTTAGCTCAGATATGCTTGGCGTTCTACATATTGGACGGCTTGCAGAGATGCGCCTCCATATACAGTATAACAGTACATATACATGTGCAGTAGAACGCCAGGCATGTCTGGCTTAATAATCAACAGGATCAGATGACTATGATAAGGATTATGATGCACGATTTGAGTATCTCCTCAGCCTAGGCATGGAGCCTCATAAAAATTATGCAACTGGGAAGGTTAACCATTTTTCTGTTCCCCACCCAAAAAAATGGAAACATTCCAAGCGCTGATAAAAAGTCGAGCTAAGGCGATTGAAACTCCCCGTCGGAGCACGAATGCTCCATTCGATGGCCTCCCCGCTCGAAGGAAAGTTGATATGGCGCCAGAGCCTGTTGGGAGACGACGGAGGCCTCCGACGGGCTCCGAGTGCCTCTCGGCCCTAATGCGTTTCGCTTGGATTCCACCCAAGTGTCAGCGTTTAAACGTGGATTTTGTGACTCGCGTATTTTGTGGAAGCCCTGTTACGAAAGGAGATAATCCAAGAAAGCGATCCTCCACGAGAGTGACCCAGGCTTGGGTGCGTGCGCGTGAATGTGTGTGTGAGTGTATGTCCGTGTGTCTCTCCTAGTGTGAGTTCGCTGGATGTGAAGTCGATCGACTGGGAAAATGGATGTATGGTGAAACAAAGAGTATTGTGATTTCATTAACTCGATTGTCCTTCCATGCAGTTTAATGGACCGAGTTGCTGAGTTTGAGAGATCGGAGCTCTATTTGCCCGTTCGAATTAGATCCAACATTCAACTGATCGTAAATTGGCCCGTTGGAAGTATGTGATGAAGCCCATGCCTCCGAAACCCAGTTACTTCCCCATTTCTTCATAAGCGTGAGTCAGCATTGGTGTCTTTTTCTTCTTTTTTTCTCCTTTGCCGTGAGACTTTCGACTCGTTCAGGAGGGGAGCATGTTCATTATCATTCTTATATTTTGATCCTGTGCTTCATTATAGAAGCATGCCTCCCCGGAAAATGGCGTTAAAACGCTTTTTCCCTTCAAGGTGTAATTAATCAGAAGGCCGACACGACCCCAACCTCGTCGACAGTTTTATCATTTCTCCAGAACTTCGACACACATCGCGATCGAGGGGAGACGGGAGAACCAGCCACAAAAAAGAAAACGCGGATTTCGAGTAACGCCACGGCGTTCGCTGACAGAGCAAATAAAATGGATAGACCAGGATAGAAGGAGGAAAGACGAGAGGCAGAGTTGTCCTTCACTCGTCGACAACCCATTCCACCGACTTTTTTTTTTCTCTCTTCCCCTTCTTGGAAAATACCCGGCGCATGCCGAGAGGGGATTGCAAGGACGTTTTCATCCGACAGGATCAGATCATTCTGACCGCGTCGATCGCGCGTGAGCAAAATGCGAAAATTAATTAACCAGGGATTTAATTTTTAATGCGTTGTACGCATTGGACAGGACTCGAAATGGGCCCCATCAAAACCTCTTTAAACATAATTCGCTTACGGTCAAGGTCCAATTTAGTCCATTTTAGTCCAAGAGGGAAGCGTCTTGCCCCACTATCACGGAAGTAATGAAGGCCGTATCGAAGAACAATCAATATGACTCAGGCATAGGCATGCACGTGTGCAACCGCGGTATGTTCAAGGTATATTTATTATATATTCGCCAGGGATTCCCTCACTTTTCGTGTCGCTTCCCTCGATGATTTCGCCAGGCAATCGTCGCAATATAAAACTCATCATGTGCATTAAATTAATTTTTTTTTATACTTTTTTATTGTAGAAATATAACTTTTTGAACATCCCAAGTTAAGCAAAGGCAACGAAGTTGCCATTGAATTTGAAGGAAAATAGACTTTCCGGCTCATTGTCATATTTTCTCCATCAAGCCGGAATTTCATCAATACAATTTAAAATATTTTCCCCGCGTGTTTATACCGTCCCGGCCAAACCCCGAAAACGCCCCCGCACAGGGAAAAGTACAGAAAAGTTTCCTCACATTGTCGCCATCAATTATTTTCTTATTTCAATAGGGAATTTTTCTTGATTCCAGCGAGATGTGCGGACTTTCCGCCTCGTTCCGAATTTCCTTCGCCGCGCCCATCAATCGAAAACGTCCTGTTTCCTCTCAGAGTACTTATTTTAAGCATCGAAGCTTACCGCAGTTCTTCGCTCGAAATCCGTGAGATTTTGGAGCGCTTCCATCGCGGAATGATGGAGAGCACCGTTCCTTCGCCTTCACTGTTTACAATGTTTATAATAATTTATAATGCGCTCAAGGTAATCTGGACTGGTTTTTCATCCACCTTTCTTCTAAATGAGCCCTTCAAAAATGTTATTTTTATATGCTATCGTGACTATTCCTTCTTTCGAGCATGACATGGCCCGTTCGAAAACACCAAGGACATTCGGATCACCTGCAGGATGATGCAATTGTCAGTGGAAAATAAATCATCTCACGTCGGAAATGAAACATCGGATTCCCGTGATATGAGGCGTGTAGGAATTCCGCGGAGAGTCGGCGATTCGGCCGGAGCAATAACACGTCCGGAGTCTCCCGTTGTTTCCCAAAGATAACGGAAAGTTCCGTATTTAAGTTCCGTGTATGGGAACAGAAACGAACTTGAATTTTTCTCCGGGGACTATCGGAGATTGGCATCCCCCCCCCCCCCCTCCCCCCACCGTGAAAGGGATAAAAAAAATGGTTTCCTCTAAGGTTGGATTTCGGATACCCTGAATAGTAAACATTCTAGGATGAAGACGTGAAAATTTATGCCGGTAACATTAAGTAGCATTTCCTGGGCACACATGAATTTTATTCAGGACATTAGAGGAAATCATTAGGGATGGGTTTACATGTATTTCCTTGGAAAATCTTATCGAGAAATCTTTATAATAAAAAACTGAAAAAATTTTTCATCGCTTGCCATGGTGTCTGCTCAGGAAGCGATTCCTTTTATTCAACACTTGACATGTACCGGCGACAGTGAAAGGGCTCATACTAATCCTCTCCTGCAAGAATTTTCCAACTTTTTATGAATACGAAAGGTAGTCTTTCTTTAAACACTTCCTAGCGTATTTTTATTTGCCTCCAGCCATGGAAGAAAGATAAGAGTTCGCATTCTCCCTGAAGATATGAATCTCCCCTGCATATATGCTCCGCTTTTTTTTCTTCTTTGGGCTCACGCGATTCCTCCTCCCTGCACGTGCCAGCTCAGATTCTCGGCTGGACGAAGTAGTGCGATTCCATTCTCGCTTTCCATTTCAAGGAGTACGCACATAGCTTTACAGAAAATTAACTACATCCGATTGCATAGGATTACTTTGCATGAAGAAGATAATATGTATTTAATCAAAGGAGTACATTTTCTCAAATAATTTGCTGAATATGTAAAAAAAAAAGAAGTAATAATTATGGCTGTACCAATGTATCGGCTAAAACTAGTATCGGCTGCCGGTGTTGCACTTTCGGTTATCGGTCTATGGCGCCAACGCCGGTGCCGGGGCCCAAAGGACCCGCAAAGCGAAAAAAAAAACGAAGTGAGGGTGTGAACGCGGCTGGTCGCTGTCTCACTCCTGCCAGTCTCTCCCAGACAAAAATATCAATCGGATTACATTGCAGCCGGATTATAGGAACCGGCAGAGGAAAGGAGGAGTAGAGAAGGGAAGTCATTGCGTCCCCACTTGCGTTATGCTTTTGCAAGGGATGTCTCACTAAATGCTTTCGACAGCAGCAATGGATAACAAGCTGACCACTGACAGCCTTATTGAGAGGCAGGCTAGACAGGACCACAAGTGGTCTCTATCGTTTCAAGAAGGCATACTGAGAAGTATCACATTGCTTCCAATTAGGCCTATTTTAATTTATAGGCAATTTCTTTTACAGGCCACAGTTGACACCGGTACCGGCCGATGGCTATGAGGAAAAAATCGGCCATCGGCCCACCGGCCAAATGTGGCTACCGGTACAGCCCTATGGAATTTTCAGAATGTCGGCCTACCTCTCACAATCATCGAGCAAATGAGTAATTAATTAAATTGTCTCTTTTATCATTTTATTCATCCATTCGAGCTATCGGTACAGCATTCCTTCACGGAGTCCCCATGTCGAAAGGGGAAGCACGCCCGTTCAACGGAGGAACAGGCAGAAGAAACAAAGATCATGCCATTCTTGCTTGCTCCAACACTTGTTCACTGGGGGTCATTACCTCTCTGTATATAGACCTACGCAATCCTCGTCTCTGCTGACAAGGAGCCTCGCGTCACTATCAACGTTAGGGTGATGCCCACGAGAGTCGAGACTCTTCGCCTGCGAACGGAAAACCATGCATAGGCTGCCCCAATCCGATGTGCCACGGAACGAAGGGAAAAGAGCTGCTAACATTGCACAGCCGGTCGAGAAGGGAAAGGAACACTCAAACCACCCTTCATCTCCCTCTGACCTTGAGGGGCAATTCATGGAAGCTGTACAGCAGATGGGTATCTTGCGCCGCCGACACGTACACATTAGAGAGAAGAAAAAACATACATTCCCAGATCGCAGCATACGTGACCCGTGAGGCAATGGCTTCACTGGTGGATGGCCCAAACTGGTAATGCCCATTCTCCCAGCCAAAGTTTCCTTGTTGGTGCTTTCCTTACAGAAAATACTTGAAATCCGATTTTTTTTACTGAAAATTTATGGGGCATGAATCCGACGGACAGGTATTCGTATGTTAACATTAATTTCACGCGGATTACGAAGCTACTTCATTGTCATATTGTCTTCTCGAGCTCCAAGCGGCAAAACTGAATCTTGATACCATTTGTGATGGTAGACTCAACTATCGTAGTCCATCCGAAATCGACCAGATAGTAATTAACATGATGTTTGGCCCCTTACAGTTGCATGGAAATTCGTGAAAGGTGTATTCTAAATATCCTTTCGAGGTCAAGAGGAAGTCAAGGGAAATGACACTTCTATGCGTAACCGACGTAAATAATAGAAAATAGCTAGTGACCGGTCAAAGCCCGGACATGAAACGGACTGACCCACAATTCAGAGGGCTTGATACTTTGTCGCCTCAAAGTAGTCGAGGTTGCCTCAAGAAAGGTTTAAGGGTGAGCTACCGTTCCGCCCACCCCTCTCTCAATTCCCCTCTCTTTCTTCCATTCCCCCCTCCCCCCTTCGTCCCCTCCCCCCTCCCTCCATATTCCCCTAGGATTTGGGAAACCCGTTTTCACATGTGAGAAACTGTAAACATTGTTTCATCCGTTCCCACTTACTCTCATTACTGTTACTATTGTATATTGTATATACTGTACATGGTGTCCACAAATTATCTGTTGAACTTGTGAGTCTCATTGCCACGAAACTAATAATCAGGGAAAGGTGAAACAAAAACAAAAAATTCCAGGAACATGAAGTTTTCTGCCGCATGGATACCAAGTTCACAATCTTTCCGCTGGGGGAACAGGAGTCGCATAAGCAAAAATGGCGAATTTCGCGGAAGTCGTTTTATGGTTTGGAGTTATACGTTCTCTTTCATAATAGAAAAGTCGTTTCGAACGAAGTACAAGAAGGAGCCCCGTCGACACCGTTCATTCATGCTTGCCATGAAAAATTCGTTGAAACAGGGACAACAAACAGGAAATAGAACCGCTTCGTTTAGTCATATTTTGTCGCGGCTTGCAGCAGCTGGAATTTGTATGGCCTCTATGTGAAACTCTTCCGCTAAATTTTCCAGACTGTAGTGTTTGGTAATTGAAATACTTCTTCGGCATGGAGGGCGGATTCACGCAGACTGCGTTGAAAAGTATCCCGTACCGGCCTTGCATCGTCCTCGCCGATCCTCGGTCTTCCGCCACCTTTCCGGGGACGAAGACACACATTTTCGACGACCAAGCTGAGCTTAAATCTTTGGTCTTCACGGGGTCCCATCCCGTACTTCGCACGAAAACAGCATTTCCTAAAGAAATGCAACAGAACGAAAGAACTCGTTTCTTCGAACCAAAAACCACACCGTACCCGCTAGGTTTCCGCGAAATCAGCACTTATTTTCGTGATTCCCCCGCAACCATCGGAAAGAATGTGATTATGTTAACCATGTGACACAAAGTTTGAAGTTGTTAATGCAGATTTTTTATTGTTTTACCGCTCTGTTATTATTCAATTCGAAAATATACGATCGATAAATTGTGCAGATAATGTGTGGACACCCTGGTGCTCTTATTTCCAGGCGTTTTGTCGCAAGAAGCTCCATCGGTCGTAAATTTTAAAATGAGGAAGCAGGTAAATATAACGGCTGATCTTTTTTTGCTGGGAAGTGGGAAAAATACTTGACGAATCCGATAAAGCACCAACTGCGATAATATCCGCAATTTCTATATTTTCCCACGTATATATTTTTCCACTCGAGTGCCTGCGCGACCTAGCAAGATGCGATGGGTTTATTTGTGAGCGATAATTGTTCAAAGTAGGGCCTTATCGATGTATCGGCTAACACCGGTATCGGCCGCCGGTGTTGGACTATCGACCATATTGGCCATCGGCAGGTTTGGAACCAGCCGATGCCGATGTTCAAAGAATAACGTGCTGAACGAGGAAAAAAAAAATACCACGTGAACGGGGCTCGGTAACCGATTGTCAACGGCAATAGGAAAAAATTAGGGCTATCGCAGTATTGCTGTCACTTTCGATAGTTGAGGTATGGTAGGGTTTATCACCGTCGCAAAGGTGACATCTACCCCCCCCCCCCCCCCCCCCCAACTCCTCCAATCACAAGCGACAGATTATGGAAGGTGGATATAGGTCCAGCATCGATGCACTATCGATGTTTCAGGTCGATACATCGGTGTATTCGAAACGCCCAGAGTGGAATCAATAATAAAATTGAACGTGCATTCATAATATATCTATTTGACTTTTAAAAGATGTTGTCGAATGCTTTTTCGCTGATTCTCTACACGTCATAATAGGCACCGGTATCGGTACCTGCCGATAGGTATAAGAAAACAATTGGCCATCGACCTTAGTTCAAAGCAAGGACTACGCCCCCGCCCAAGAAATTATTGGGGTTCATTATCGATGGGGTTTCTTCATGCACGACATCTCGAGGAGGAGTGCTTCGTACTCGGGGATCTCTCTTTTCGAAGCCGATCATGCCCCAAATGCATGGTTCTCAAATGAACATCCGCGCCTCGTGCTTGTGCAAAAAAAAAATTAATCCAAAAAATATCCAGACAAGAGATGAGGATGGGAAACATGCCACCGAGAGTGGAAGAAGGAAATATAAACAATATCTCCCATAATGTTTATGAGGGGGTTTATGTTTATGAGCTTCAACTTTCTTCTTCTCAGTATAGGCCATGTTGTTGTATTTCCTCGTTTCTCCTGAAGACTGGGTATTCATCATAGCAACAGACTTACATGAACCGCCTGTAAGCAGGATTTTTCCTCCTCTTTCTCTGCACTATGCTGGAGCGTGTTCCATGTCAGGCTAACAGAATGTATGTTTAATCTCAACCTCACGAACAGTCAGCGCAGGAAGGCCAAAACGAGGGGAGCTGAGTGATAACAAACAGGCTTGAGACAAGAGAAAAATATTATGAACTTAGAGCAGAACTCAGATTATCACTCTACTCTGGATGATTCCAGGAATGCCAAAGTCGGATTTCGGCATCGAGGGACAGATCGACGGAAGGGGGCGTCCCTTTGGGGCATTATCTTGGAATGCCGGCGCAAAAAGAGCATTTTTTCTTTGCATTCTCTCCTCCCTCCTCTCATCTAACAATTTTGGCAAGATTTCTTGGGGGAAGTTTATAAATAAAAATGGCCTTGGGTTTGCAACGACCGTGACTGAGGAGCCATCTTGCAGACTCGTAAACTCATGCGTGTTATGCAACCTTCCACACCCGAAAGAAAATCAATCCAGGTCGCATTAGAGAACATACTTCTTAGAAAATCTTCACATATTTGAGGACACACACGGGCTATTACAGTTTTTCATTTCATGGCAAGCCAAATGGGGGGAAACGGAAGAATTCTCGGGAATGCGTCATTCTACAGTACCTGGAACATCCCATGATATCATCGAGGTAATGTGACAATTTTAATTAGATAAACTTTCTCTTCCAGGAGAAAAAGTAGGCCGGAGACTGGTAGGCGTATCAAGACGCCATGACTACTCACAGTCAAGCAATATCGAACGTCTTGGCCGAGTACAAAAATACGTTTCAGTGGCACACCGAACTAGAGGATATTCTCTTATGCTTGAAGACGAAAGGGATTATCCATGATGACGAATACCATGAGATGGTCGAGGAGACCAGGGAGAGAAGAAAAAAGCAAACGCTGTTCCTACTCAGGGTGATTCCCACTAGAGGTGACAACGCCTTCCCAGCACTGCTGCAGTGCCTCATGGAAAAATACTCCGACCTCGTCCAGGCATTGCTGACATCTCTAGAAAGTAGAGATAGACCCTACGCGATGGAACTTCGGAGAAGTAAGTAGAGTCCATTTTTGTTGTTCTCTTCACTTTCCCTCATCTGTTCTAAATGGTTTGAAATCTTGCTCGAATATGACTGCATCACCATATACGCATTATTGAATGATGAACAGGGCACGTGAAAGCTCAAAGAAACATTTAGAGCAGTGACATTTAAGATAATTAACACTACCTGTAAGGAGAAAAGTGTTTTCTTCAACTTTTTTCCCCCGAAACTTCTGTACCCGACATAATATGATAGATATAATTTGAGGCGTCGGGGCCTTTATTATGCGAATCTACCTTACGATTTCACCACGAGTGAACCTTGCCCCCAGAATTCACCTATAACTCTTTGAAACTAGGTGTTGGTCTATTTCGAGATGATGATGAGTGAGGACGTTCCTTATCAAGTTTCCTCCGATGACACTTCCTGAGCCAGAAGCTCATCATGGGAAAATTGATTAACCGTTGTTACTGAATTAAACTGGAAATACGACTATGCCTCCATTGCAGTCTTGAATTTCTCCGGCAAATAAAGGGTTGAAGTATGCATTTTGCGGTACTTTTTTATTATTGGGCGTTCATCACGTTAGCTTAGTCTACTTTTTTCCCTCCTGACGTATTGAACGAGCAAACATATAATTTAATTAAAGAACCTTGGTTGCGGAGCGAGGCACATGTGACACCTTTTTAAAATGCAAATGATCGAAAAAAACTGCTTTACTGGGGTCCGAAAATATGCATAAAATCGTATTTTTTGTAAAATCCAAGAGCAGAAGGATAGCTACAATTTGCCAATGATAGTACTGAAAAACTCAAGAATGTTTCTATTATATTAACGGCCTTCTATCCAGAGACTTATGCATTTTGTAAACAGCTCATCCACTAAGAACAGCCTCAGCCATATTCCTGCTGCGAAAATCACGATTGAAAATATATGCATCAAGGAGATGCTGAGGCACCGCGTGCTACACTTCCAGGTGTGCGCAAAAATGACCAAAAGTTAATTCGCATACGTAGAGTAAAAAAAATACCGTAGGAACGTGATAAAAAAAATGACGACATGCATAGGATTGAAAGGAAATATTTTTACATTACCAGAAAAAAGTACAGAAAAATAGATTTGAGGAAGAATTAAGCCTTCATAGATTGTATTGTCGCTAACGGTGCCAGAATTAGTTTTGCCTTGCTTCGATATCGATAATCAGAATCTTCAGCGAATCCTTAGAGCGAACTCGCGAGCGGCCAGCATGCAATTACCCATGCTTGAATTCTGGTTCCGGAAGTAGAAGTCCGACTCGCTCGAATGTCTGTCCATATTACTATTTCATAGTCATACCTCATGCGAGCTCGATAGGGAATTTACGTTTGATGACGCGACCAGTGAAACACTTGGGAACAAATGAACGCTGCCACGGAGACATTTATGACCTGTAAACCTGTAATACATTTACGTTTGTGTCTCTCACGATCGTACGTTCATTGAAAAGGCCTACCTTATCGAGGGATTCCGCAGAAGAAATACCACTGCTCCGAATCTTAGGTTTAGGGCGTGCTGAGAACTGAGTACAGGGGAATTTAACAGTAAAATTGACATGGCGATCAGCATCATCCCCACCATCGTTTCTAACCAATTCACAACTTCAAGCGTACTGGTGCACATCGTCCCATGACTTTTCGTTTAGCCTTATGGCCCTAAAAAGCCATAAGCCTGTAGGCGTCGTGCGTCAGACTAAGGCAGCTGTATTCTAGGTCTTATTTGATAAAAACTTACGGAATGAGAATGAGTTAATAGTGTCGATATTGCGATGAGTCCGCATTTCGCCTTCCAATCGAGACGACACGTCCTCGTCGTTCATTCTTGGGACATAGAATGGCGCGCTTGTTGCTAACTTCGGCATCGCGGACCCGATGCCGTCCTCCAAATAGCCCATTCACCAAATTGTCGGGTAGAAAAACGCCTGGTAAGTGCACAGAGAGGTCAGATTGACCGTCCTATACTCGCTGAAGTTTTCCGCTGTCCATATTGTGGGACTATTGAGCAAAACGAATTTCGTTTGAAGCTGTACTCATGCATTCTGATTAACGAATCGTTCGGAACGATGGCCACAACGGGCTCATCTTGGCGCAAGTCTCCACGATTTGGCCGCGAAGTACTTTGCGGGCAACTGGCAACACTAAGTGAAAATAACCACCCATTATAATTACTTATTTGGCATCAAATGGACGGGGATCGTCCATCGAGTCTCGCAAAGCCCGTTCTATCATTGCCTTCGCTTCAGCTGGCGCAATCGGCGTTTCATCCGGAATGATGGTTAGGTTGAATTATCGCCCGATGATCGCACGATATTGCTCAATTGCTCATTGCATGATTGATGAGCGGAACTAATGGCCAGACGAAGGCCATGTAACACATCATACTATCAGGCAGCAAGTTTCCAGCAATATTTGTCCACGCATCGCTGAAAACATTCTGCTCTCTCCCATGCTATACAGTAAACGAATAAACGCGGAGTACAGGAAGGTTTTGCCAGGGCCGACGCACTTCCCGTTCCGAATTTTCCGGCGTTTCGGTCTGCAGGCGCGTCGCATCGAATCCAATTTTTTTAAACTTTAACCTATCCCTCCTAGTCCATGACCTGAAAAGGCAAAGGCTCCAGCCACACGCACCACGAAAACCCTTAAAGCTGGGATCGGAAACCTATAGCTAGTGGGCTAAATTTGGCTCACGAGCCTAAATTGCTCATGAGTCATGGCAAAAAATCATGGTTGTTCCTCATTTTCTCACATATCAAACAATGCTCTTCTGTCTGTGCCAACTTAAAGAAAAATTATGTTGTTTGAAAGTCTTTGGCTCACGAGCACTTAGCCTAATCTTAAAATAGCTCTCATGTCCAAAAAGTTTCCCGCCCCCTGCCTTAGAGTAATATGGCATCGAATTGATTGGCTGAAGTAATGTGTGGTCCTACTTCGTGCGGCACACTATATCATGGGTCCAAATTTCTTCAGTTAAATCGCCACATCTTTCTAAATCCGTTTTTTAAATTCGTTTTCCTGCCCTGCAATGTGTGGAATTGATTAGACCAAGAGGTCCTCTGAAAGGATGACACCACTGCTCTTCACACTGCCATTATCAGCAGTAGGCACGGCGGAGCCGTACGTGAGTGGTGAGTTGACATAATGGCAATTCTTGAGGGGCACTTGTCTCCGTGCCAATGCATTCTCTTGAGCCTTGTAAAAGAAACCACGCTGTAAGTTACGAGGCCATAAATTGCAGATTTAAAGAATAGCATTTCCTTTTCCAAGTGTCGTGTCATACATATATTGAAGGTGATGTTAAAAATATATTGGAAAAGTTAAGATGATAAATGCCTTGCTGTTGAGAGCAGATGTGTGGGAAAATAGAGTTGCCCATAACTCTGAGTTTCATTCAATTTTCCAGCGACGTGGGGTTTAGATACTCCTTCCGAGAGAGCAGCCAGCGTTAATTGGAAAATAGTGTGTCCGTGCCTGGGCATGTCTAGACCTAATTTAGCCAGTCAATGGACAGTTGAATCAAGTTGAGCGCCATCTCTGGTATGATCTGATCCAAACCGGTGCCAAGGTTTGCCGTATTGTGCAAGTTTGTTCCACCCAATCGACACCATGAGGCTGCTGGCACAATAATGATCGTTGCGTTAGCGGGTGCTGCTCTGTTTCCTATTCCAACCGATTATAACTACCGTACAGCCGCGCTTCCCATCCTGGCGCCCAATTTGGATAGGTCTGCCATCAGATCCTGACCTGACAGTGATGCAACGCTGTTTTTGAGGAACGAGGTAATTCGACAGGAACAAATCACCATGTAGTTCCTCATTCTTCAATGGCGTAATCAGGATTCAATGTACAAGCGCGATTATGGGGCCTCCTGAACCAATCCCGGATCAGTAATGAGCAATATACATTTGCAGTCCGTTGATGAGGTCGGCGTGATAGCCTGCTGGATGCAGCAAATCACAAAGGAAGCCATACATCTTTGATGACATCCCCTTAGCCTTAACTGAATGGTTGCCTCAACACTGAATGCTTCTAACCCTGAGGACGTCGCACGTCAACCACCGCACTAGACTTCACATAAGCATTACATGTACTATACATGTTTTGCCTCTAATGTATTCAGAACCCTTATAACTAGGAATCAAATTAGATATACTTGCAGCATTCAAACATAGCCACAAAAAAATCCGCAAATTAGTACTTTAGAGTCTCAGCGGCATTTTCTCCCCATTCCGGAAGACCGAAACTTTGTCATTAAGGCAGGTGCACTTGAAAACGCTCAATTTATCTTCGGATCCATATTCATCGATTAGAATAATGAGGTTAGCCTAACTAGGATGAGGTTAACCTAACTACAGTTATGAAAATCGATTCTGAGTCTCCTCACATCCAGATGCTCTTTCACTATAGTAAATAAGAAGTGTCGTCTGATAAAGACCAGCATGACTTTGAACTCATTTGCATCCACAGGCGTTTCTCCCCCCAACCGATGGTCGAGATAGGCACGGGCTTGTAGGCCTCGCGCATCGGGCTAAGGCAGTAGATTTCTAGAACAGATAGGGTGAAAAATTCATTTCAAGATAGTGATATCAAGAGGCGATTTCGCCCATTTCGATATCACGTGTCGAGGTCGAGCGTTCGTTAATTTTAGGGTAGGCCTAACCCTCTTAAAGCTAAATATTTTTGTATTTTTATTTTGTTATGTTTTTTTTTTGTTATTTGGCTATCCTAGTTGCTTACTGTCTAGTACCTAACGTCAACATTGCTCCCCACCTTTTTGCCTGTCCATGAAAGCATCTAGTTTCCTCAAAGATAGTCACAGCGCGAGGCAGCCACTACTTCGTCATCTAACGCATTCCACGCGTTCACCACTCTGCAAGTAAAGAATTCCTGTCTCGACCTGAGCCGCACCTGCGGTTTGCGCAACTTAAGTTTGTTACCTCTCGTTCTCTTGCTGCCATTAAATTGGAAAAACCTACCCCACTCGACATTATCTATTCCTTTAATTATCTTGAAAGCATGAATGAGATCGCCCTCCTTAACCTTCGTTCGAGCGAGTACAGTCCCTACACTTCTAAACGCTTCTCGTATGATAGTCCCCTGATCTCCTTAATCATTCTTGTGGCCCTCCTGGGTGTGAACGGGTTAAAAAAATAGAGCAGCTAGACAGATGTCATGCACTTCGTGGATAGGGTGTGTATCCACTACATACGAAATAAGCATAAACATCTGAATGGAGCTTATTGTGCAAAATGAAACTGGATGTGAAACAAAGCCCGATCTAAATTTCGTGATTTTTTTACACTGAGTTTCCAGGTTACTTTTCTCGACGCCTGTGCGATAGAAATTCCCATCTCTTGTCTTTACGCAGGATTCCAAGAAGTGGACTCGTCTTCTCAGCCGTGTCAAAGGCAGCCGGGCTCCTACAGGTACAGTAATGATATGACTTACTGTATATCGAGAAGTCTGACTTAAAAAATCGGCGTGAAAAAAACGTGAAATGAGTGATTACATGATTATCGTTGAACTTGAAGCGCTGAAACAGTCACTGAGAGACCCAGGAAGGATGAAGATGCCCGAGGTCGGGCCGCTGGAAATGCACAGGGACGATCCGTTATCCTCTCAACTCCAATATCTGTTGGGATAACCAGCAATCCTCGTGGACCTCCGGTGGGCGGGTCAAATTCCTTTCTAAACGCGCGTTTAAAATATTTTGATCTTGCAGTTACAAGAATGCATCGAGTTCTCTCAATAACATGGTCAACTGGTTAAAGTGCGTCCCCATACATTAAGGGCTGTCGGAAATATAGTTTCTTCCAGTTACCCAAGTAATCGACGTGAGTGCAATCTGCACTTGATGATTTTCATTTCATGGTGAATCCTATTATTGGATCACTATCTCCATTAATATCTACGATGACATGCAACAGTGCAACAAATCACCAAATGAAAAGCATTCACGAACAAGGGCGGAATAATGCCAACTCGAAAAGGCAAATGATCCATTAAAAAAAAAGGATTTGCAAAGCGAAAACAAAACGTTTCATGAGGCCCCGTGAACTACCAGAGTAAAGGTCCGTTGCTCCCGCACACGTGGGGGGGCAACGGGAATAAGTTTGATAAGTCAATCAATACCTTCTTGTGCTTTCATGATGACATTTCTTCTTTCATTTTTTTTTCAGGATGCGTACAAGATGTCTGCTAATCCTCGTGGCAAGGCGCTCGTCATCAGCAATTCTGACTTTCACGGTTCAATGAATGATAGGCCAGGCACAGACATCGACGCGGTCAAGATTCGGTATCTGTTCGAGAAACTGCACTTCTCTGTCGACGTTGAGGAAGACCTCACACGTCAGGTAAGCCGTTGCGGATGCCCTTGAATGAGTTGATTTCTCACAAACGTGGGTGACCTTGCACAAATTGAAGAAACGTTTCCTAGTCCTTCATTCAAAGGTGTATAACGGAGCCGTAAAGGTGCTCATGTAATTCACTGGACTTTGGCGAAGAAATTGTGCTTTCTTCTATGCGCTTTTGAATGATGATTAAAACTTTTTTTTCTCCACATTTTGCAATGTTATCCGCAGCTGCTTGAATTTAGTGCATATTACGGTACCGACATTTAAAGCTAAGATTGCATGTAAATGTTTCCTTCATTCGACTTACGACTTCAAGA